CCGGGATCCGCCGCCGCCCCCTGAGGGCTGAGCCGAGGGATGGGGAGTTCAAGGGCGGGGGGGGAGCGGCCGCCCGAGGTCGCGGGGGGTGAAGGGCAGCGCTGGCAGCCCAGAAGGTGCTCGGCCGCCGGCTCTGTTCGCCCGGGGAAGCTCTCTGCCCAGGCGCTGACAGGACAGCTTGGGCAGACACGTCTCCCAAGGATGGGATCTCCGTAATTTTCCGTGGAAAACTGTTTCACAGCGTGGCGAGCCTCGCTATTAATAAATCCCCTTGATAACCAGGCTATCGGGACTGTGCCTTTGCTTCTCCCGCCGCACCAGTCACCGATAATATCTCCTGTGTTGTGCCAGGTTGCCTCAGCCTGCGTTTGATGTTTGTTGCTCGGTCCTTGGAAAGCTCATTTTTCTCTCACCTTCCTTATCACAGATCCAATAACCACATTTCAGAGGGATGAAGAATACAATGTATTACCCGACATCGGATGCCTAAATGCTTTTCAGACTATTCACAAACTATAACACTTCTGACTATTAACAAACTCAATCCCTTCTCGCCGATGTACAGCAAGACTCTCTCTCTCCACTTGTTGCCCTTTATTGAACTTATCCCTGTGCCTGCACACAAGCCCCGAAACTTAGAGCTTTGTAAAAGAAACCTAGCCAAGTAATACAAGAACACAGCTGTAGGTGACAAAGTCTCAACCTTTTAATTTTCATACTGACTCGTTTGACACAGCTGGGCAAGTCATTGCAGTGCTTCCTGCTTCTTTAACAAAAAAGAATAGTATAATTAAATTAGTGGTCACGTGGTTCCGACTGTTAGGCTCAAGCAAGCTTTATCAAAGTGTTTTTATTGTTTAAAGATGGAAAGCACAATAATGTTTTGAGTAAAGAACAATAAATGTAGCAACTACTATCCTGCTTTACCTACCTACTCCTACATCTTTCTTTCCGAGATTACAGTCTGAAAAAGCATGGCAGAGCGTGTACTTAAAAACAGAAAATATGCAACAATGACATCAGGACATATAATAAGAAAATGGGCTATTTAAATATCCAAGCAAAAAAAAGTCCTACTTTGAATAGCAAAAAATTTTCATCTTTATGAGATACTCCTAAATACAGTGCATTTCAGAGTAGGAACTGTGGTCTTTCTCTCATCTGACATTCTCTATTTGAGAGCTTTTAATCTGTATTAGCAACAGTACTTCATCTCCTGTCCCAGAATCTGCGGCATCTTTAAAAAGTAGAATAGTTCTGCTCCAAGAGATTGGTTTTGGTAAGTTTCTTCATTTTTTTATTTCTTTTTTTTATTTTCATTCTTTATTTCTTCATTTATTTGTTAAAAGGTTATGAAAGGATGTAGTAATTTCATACACTCCTGGGCTAAAGGACAAAATAATTAAAAACCTACAAGGGTTTTTGAAGATGGTATTTGGATATCACTTCCTTTCATCCTTCAAAAGAAGGAACAGAAGGAACTGCGAGAGACTATCCTTTACCATATACACGGTAGGAATGAACCAGGAGATATGTTTGATAAGAGTATCACAATCATATATATAATAAATAATGTACTTTTCCATTTCTATCCAGTATTACTGATAGGCCGTGAAACTCAGACATGGTTCTCAAGTTCTCTTGGTCTGGAAACAAAAAGTATGTTGCTCTTCTTCAAGTTTTTGTATTCATCACAAAAATATCATCCCCAGTTTGGGAAAACCAACAGATGAGTGGCCCAAAAAAGGGCCCAGACTGCAGCAGTTACAGTGAATGTCATAACTCAGGATTGCAGTCATTGGCAGGGATGTTTGAGGAAGCTTGCATAACATCTGCTTGCAACATGCCTGATTCAAACCAGCACTCCTCCTCTCATGAACACTGATGACTTTTTAAAAGTAAAATAAACTTGGTCATTATGCGAGCAAATTGATTTTCCTGGGTGCTTACCCAAATCTGCTTGAAGCAACAGAAAGTACTCAATTTAAAAGCTATTTTTTTACATTTGCTAAATATTTATACCACAGCTGTGTCCTTTTTTTCTCTTTATTTTAGTCTTGTGAGCTCATTCCTGTGAGCCATACCCAGAGAGCCCTCTTTATGACGCCGGAGGGACTACTCCTGTAGAGGGATTGATGTAGTTAAAAATCCCTGCTCACTGCTTTGAACATTTGTAGTGCTTCATTCCCATTATGTTAGCATGGTAGGGAACATGGAAAGACACACTTCATTTTGGATGTTTGCTCCCTGGGTTGTTTTTCACAGATGGTTTTATTTTCAGGTTTCTTAGTTGTCTTGTTCCTCTTAGAAGGTGTGGCTGGTTATTTTGACTCAGATTACGGCTCTATAGCTTCCATGTAAGCCCCATCATCATTTTTAGTACTGACAATATAAATAAATCAATCATAAGTTAAAAGGTTTGCTCAGTGGCTTTCCTTGGATATTTTTTTTAGTGCAGAGAACATGTTAACATAGGATTAATATATCACACATACTTAGAGATTTAAATGTGGTTTTACAATGAAAGATGAATTACTGTAGAAAGGGATTTAGAGTAATTTCACTAATCCAAGAATTTACTTGTTCCCAGTTTTTATATCTGTTGTTGGTTCAAGTGTCATATGAAGACAGAACAGCATTAAAAGCCTATTTAGACTCCCCTCAGCACTCTACATGCAGGAAAAGCTTTGGGGGAAAAAAGGTAAGAACTTTGACTCATGAAAGACAATAAAAAAAGGGAGGGGAGAAAGACTGAAGCCACACTCCACTAATATTATGTAAAAAAATTTTGTAGAGTTCATTCCCAGTAAGATTCAATTTCAAGATTTGTAGTTTGGTCTTACAGACAGATATCTAAAACCTTCTGCAAATAAATGCCATTGGGAAGGACCATATTTCAAATGGAACCAACTGATAATGAATGCTAAAGCTTACAGCAGTGTTCGACATCCTTTTATCTCCAGTTGTTCAGAAAAGAGATTAAGATACCTGAAATATGTCTTAAGAAGAAGCCACAACATCTGCTGTGGCAGGTACACCACTAGAAAATTGGAAAAATATGAAAAAGTACTTGACCAAGAGTCCCTTGCCATTAAAAAAGACTCATGGAATAAGTCATATTGGGACATTGTGATGCAAAAAGACGTTAAAAATTTACCCAGGAAGGAAAGCCTTGTTCGCTCTGTGAGTGGCATTTAATGACACAAGAAATATTTGGAGATGAAGGCTTTGTTGTCACATGTCCCTATTTTAGAAGGAAATCAGGAATCAGTTACAACAAAAGAAGAAGTCCTTCATCCCTTATTCAGAACTTTTGTAGCGAGTTTCAGACTAGTATGGACCAGAAGGCTCTATTCAGTGAGTTACCATTTACTTCAATCATTGGCAATTTACCAGAGATTACTTTGCAATATCTCTGAATAGCTGTAACATTCCAAAGAATGGAAATCAAATCATCTTTTCAGGCCTCTATTTATAAGCTCATATGTGCGCCTCTCAATCATGCTGTCAGCTCCTCCTGGTTTCAGTTGAATCTTGAAATAAGAAAAGATTCACAAGAGATTTTGCTTTTGTAAACATGCTCTGAGCCTTTCCCTGAGGGACATGTTAGGAAATTAAGATTGTGTGCTTATTCCTTTGAGAATTGTCCATTATTAACATATGCCTATGGGGTGTAAGTTTGGAAACATCAAACAAGCAGTGTCCAGTTGTCAGGACTGGTACTACCTTGAACACAGAAGGTGCTACAGTCACTCCACATTGCAGGCATTTTGCTGTGTTATTAAAGATGTCTCATTATTTGAAGACTACCATTGTCGTTTAAAAATGGATAAGAGTTATGTTTTAGAATTAAATAGTTAATGTCCATCCCCATTATCAGCACAGTTATCTGAAGATTGTTTTCCACACTAGATAACATCAGTGTAACTTGAAGCGGGATCAGAGAGTAGGTTTCTTAGATAACATTAAATGGGAGTGGTAAAACTTACTTCCTAATATTTCGAAATTATCTTTCCATCACATCTGGCCATTAGCTTTCATAACATTTTTCCCATTGAGCTAAGGTTACAGTGGATAGTTTTTCTAATAATAATAATTGTGTGAAACTCACAGGCTGATGATATTGCAGCCAGGCATCTGCAGGGTCTGTTTTTCACTATCATCCAGGCTGTAAATTACTTCCATCTTGGACAAAAATGGCAAATCATCTCACTTTGGTGCTTATAATCATTAATCATATGAAAGTAGCACCGCCAGCCTGTTACTATGCTGGGTGATGTATAGCTTTGTAGTAAAAACCAGACTCTGTCTTAAAATGCTTACAGTAAAAATAGGCATTTATGAACACATGTGTAGATAAGCTTTAGCACCATAAGAATGCTGAATGGCCTGATTAGGATCACATGGCAAGTCCATCAGAAACATTATTGGCTCATAAATCTCCCTAGTCCTCACACACAATCTTAGCTTTCGAAGTATGTTTCCTTGTTACAGATCCAAGAACGAGCTCATAAACTACACTACCATACCATCATTGTAGTTTCACTTAAGAGTGTCTTTGAGAATTCACATGATATGTTATTTCCAAATGTGTGTTATCTGGTGCAAACATTTGCTCAGGCTGCCTTGAATTTTTCATGGTTTTATGCGTTCTACACTACTTTTAAAATTGAAGCTATATTCACTTTTCTTGTGGATTTACAGTACCAGTGTCCAGCAATATGTGTGGATACTCCTTCCAGTTCATGAGGGTAACACCCTCATCATGATTGCTGATTCACCCAACATCTCCAATGACTCGCTTTTCCACTGCACAGCTGACTTCCCAAAAACATTGGTTCCTTAAGCTATTTCTCCCCATGTGGTAGCCTAGATGGTTTAACATTCCTTCAAGGACTATGTAGGAAAAGGACTCTGTGCAGAGGAATGTGCTGTCTTTGTCAGTGGAATAGCCAAGTACAGAATAACCAGATCCTGTTCTCCCATTTATTTTGCAGTCCCACTTCCCTCCCAGCCTGTTCCAGCTCTGTGTTCACACACTTACAAAAGGCTTCAGGCAACAACTGCTATCTCAAGTTAAGGTCAATCAATACAGCTGATGTGCTGATGTTTAATTATAGGTAGCTGACGGTGTCCTCTGGCACGGGTTAACCTTGTTAAATATATGGTTTAAAAATATCCCTTCAAAATTAATTTTCTGCTTGTTTTTAGACACCCTGTGTGAGCTGGTTCTTCCATGACCTTGATGGGATGGGCAGTGGCAGCTAAAACCCTGCTTTACTTTGTCAACACTGAGATTCACTCCTACATTATAAAACAAGTTCAGGGGTTGTCACTATCTTCCGAGCCAGTGCATCTGATCTCTCCTGACAAAGGGGCATGAGATGGTTGTATTCATCTCATGAATACCCTGTTAGAGGTTTTTCAGCAGACACAGTCTGGGCTGTTTGCTTCTATTCAACACACGGTAAGAAAAGGACCATTTGCTTCTGTTCATCTCGTGTACTGCCAGAGAATAACTCTATGAAATGCACAGACTCTAAAAGGATTTCAGTGATGTCTTGATTGCAACAACATTCTTGAAAATGTCCAGCTTTTAAGAAAAAATTATTTTTTACGTTATATTAGTGTTGAAGATCTTAAGATTTTTCTTACTCATATGCTTTCTCAATAGTTTCAGTCATGAGGGAGAACAGCTGTACTTATAAGAGCTTTTAAGAAACCACTGAATTCACTAGGACACCAGTTACTATTGTAGTAGGTCAGTGTGTCTCCAGCTGTACCCTGATTTCCAGTAATAGACCTAATCTTCTAAATCAATATGTGATTGCAGCTGGGATGCCTCCACCATTATACCAGGTAAGTCCAATCTTGCCCCCATGCTTACCTTTGGGTCTGTAAAATTGTTGCAGAAATGGCCCCCAGGGAAGGGTTAAATACATTACTGAATTTATGTGTTTAATAAAATGGAGTCAGTGTACTTAAAATATTGAAAGAAAATATAAAACAGTCCAGCATTGCAAAACAACCCTCAGATGTTTTAGTTAGGGTTTTGTTAATTCCTTGAACTTTTCAGCAGTGCTACAATATTCATGGCTTAAGTTCTAAATATATAAAACCTCATTTAATGGAATCAGTAACCCTTGTAACAAACAAGTGCCTTCTATTCAAAAATGTCGAAGTATTTAAAGCATTAAACAAAACCAGGGAGAAGAGAATCTCAGCAATCCATATTTTGAAATATAAGACTCTACGTATTTTACACCAAAACAAAAGCCGATTTTCTTACTATTTTCCCTGAAGATTCAGAGGTAGGAGCTGTAATTATAACTCATCCAGTTAAAATTTAACGATTAATCCAAACTGCCTTCAAAAGGTTTAGTGCATTGTGACGTACATTACAAAGATGAAGAAATTATAGCTGTCAAGTGTCAGATTCTACTTCTGTTACTCACCGTCACTGAACTTCGAGACTAAGCATCTTATTTTAACGTTTCTGAACGATGTGATTTTAATTGTTGTGATTAAGGGGTTGCAGAAACGTGTCCCACGTGAGGACGACACTCAATGAAGTATTACCTCTGCTTTTAGAATTACCTTTGATCGCACTTGCAAATTCGCAGTGGATTTCCCATTAATTAATGTGAATTAGCTAGTTGTGGCTGTTCAATTTAGGTTAATTTAAAATGTTTTATAGTGCATCGCTAATTATTGGGGGCTGAAACCCCAACCCTTATTAAACAGCATGCAGGTGCAGGCGATGCATTCACTCTGCTCCGTGTTTTTCCAGGTGCTGGCTGCCCTTGGATGGCTCCTAGCACCACCGTCCCGCAGAGAGCGGCTTCTCCAAGGCCCAGCACAGCGCAGGGAACTCCGCTAAATCCTTCCTGCTTCCCTAAGGATTCCCTCCCCTTTTCCCACGTCTGATTCACCCTCGGGGGTCTCTGCTTTCCAGCCACCGCGCCGCTCTTTTGTCCTCGGTGCGAGGCCTCGGCTGAGCTGCTTTTTCTCGTATGTCAACGCTCGCCCTTAATTAGCGCCCGCCGCACAACGAGACACTCCCGCTCTCCAAAGGGCCGCGCGTGCGGCTGCTCGGACAAAGCGCGGGGGCCGCTGAGGGTGCCCGGACACCGAGACCATCCCCCGCGATTGGGGGTGTGTGACAGACGGACACACGGACTTTGTTGTCGGGACAGAGCTGCCTCGGCAGCCGCAGGCCAGGCACAGAGGTTTATCTCTCTATATATCTGTATCTATACCGGTGCTGCGCCAGGTCCTGCCCGGGCACCGCCGCAGCGGCGCGGGGAGTCCGGTCCGTTCGGGCCATAGGCCCCGCCAGCCCCCGCCTCTCCCTGCAGGACAGCGCAGCCCCAGGGGACCCCCCGCAGCAGGTGCGGATCCGTACGGACAGCCCGGCACTCCCCGCGGGGCCGGGGCGGAGCTGAGCTGAGCTGTGCCCGCCCCGCCCGGAGCCGCCGCGCCTGCGCCGCTCTGCGCGGGACACCGGGAGTTCCGCGGCGGGCGGGCGGTGCTGGGACGGGCGCTGCGGGACGGGCGGGTGAGTCGCTGCGGGGACAGGACAGGACAGGCCGGGCTGGGGGAGCGCGTCCCGCAGAGCCGCCGCCCCCTCGGCTCCCGCCGGCGCTTGGGCTTCGCCTGTGGCCGCCCCGGGGGCGGGCGGGCTGAGCCTCCCGAACCTTCCCGCAGACTCTGCCCGGAGACTTCGCCCCGCTCCGGACCGGCCGCGTCCCGCGCGGGGCGGCGGCGGGAGCGTTCCCCGGGGGGGTCCCTGCCCTGCCCGGCCCCTCTCGGGCGCACTGGGCGTTCCGCCTCTGCGTCGCTACCGCGGTATTGCCTCATCGCCTAAAAATACCTCCCGTCCGCCCGCCGGGCGGGGGCTGCACTGGGCAGGGCGGGTTTGGGCACCGGCGCTGGCGGGGGGCGCGGAGCGTCCGCCCGGCCTGGCTTGGGGGTGCGGGGGAGTTCAGGTGCTGGCAGCCGCAGTGTTGTCCCAAAATAGAGTCTTTCATCCAGAGTGCGAGAGGCCAGTCCCTATACAGAGCCGAGGTATTTGATTTATTTGCGGTTCTGCGCAGAAGGGGGGGCTGGGTGGCAAATCCGCAAAGCCAGCGCCACGACTGTCAAAACTTTTTGCTATTTATACGTTTTAGCAAACAGAGGTATTAACGTTCCTTTGCTACAAGTTACATAGTTCTCTTATTAATGAGTGTGCTATCTTTTATTGGTTAAATGATTGTCTTGCTTCTTATGTTTATTAGTCTGCATGCTCAATCTTTCTCTTCTTTTGGGCTGGTGGGTTTCTTGAGCTGGTGATCTGTGAGTTGGTGGTCACGATATCCCTCTACCAGAATTACCTATTACCTTTTACCCAGTTGGAGCTGATTCCAGCACAGTTGCTGAGTTGGCTTCATTAGTTTCTTCCTTATCTTGGGAGTTCTGCATAATGTCCTTGTGACCCATAAACTCTGCATTCTTTGTGTCCACTATCAGTACATCCTTCTCCCAAAGCTTAGTTAACCACTCCTTAGGTCTGAGATCATTGAAGCATGTCAAGTCCTAAACCTTAACAGGGCAATTGTACAGACAAGTAACTTATCTTTTTAACACCTGGACATCAAGAGAGGGGACAGGTTTCTTTCCCAGTGCACAGCTCCTCTAGCCAGCTGGAGAGGAAGCGTGAATGCTGTGGTTTGTACCTGAGCACATCAGTCACATTCAGGCCATTAGCTTTGATGTTCATCTCGCTATTAATTCGCACTTGCCATTTCCCTGGAGCTGTGGCACGGTGCAGAGCAGTTTTCAGCCGTGATTTCAGTGTGTTACAGGGATAGACAGTGCTGTGCTGGGAGCAGCTCTCAGGAGCTTGTTCTGCCAAAGTTTGTCAGGCAGGCTGTCAGGGGAGAGGGCTGCATGTGCGGGTATTTCTGCCCTTTACAGCTAGGGACGCATCTCAAGTAGTTTCTGGTTTGTTTTTCTTGCAATAAAATGACTGGAAGTGTGGGCTCAGCTGTATTAACCGCAGAGTTATTTGCCAAAACGAATACATCTCTTGAGGGCTGCCTCTTTGGAAGTTTGGCTGTGTAGCCACACTGTGTCAATGGCCCATCCCAGTGGGGCTGGTCACGGGGCTGGAGACCTCCTAGGGCTGTGTGGAAGGGCCAGGAGTGTCCTACCCCAGTTACTAGATGTAGCTGTGGCGGGCTGCTGGCAACTGCAGCTTCTTCTCATGTTTTAAATTTAGTTTCCAGAGATGGAGGTTCAGTTCTGAGGTACTTCTTGTCACTGATGCAAAAAATAAGTACCAAAATTCTTAACATTTTAAATGGCAACTAGGGATGCCCATCACAAGTTAGTGGGAGAGGTGATTTGTGTTGGTTGGGTTGACATGCTGAGCTGAAGTGCTTGCAGCACGTTCTGATTGCCATTTTGGTCATAATAAACATCAGTATGCTATATAGGATGATTTCTTCACCTTGAGAGATTAACGCAAACATTTCTTCCAAGTATAATTGCTGCTGTACTTTAGAAGGAACAGCAGCTTTCACAGCTGACCAGTTTTGAATAACATTCACGCACATTTGAGGCCAGGCTAATGTAGCCAAAGAGCTAATTTGAAGAGCTGCTTCATTGTGTCTGTCTCTTTTTAACAGCTCTGATGACAAGTTACAGAGAATCAACAAAAGCAGATGGCAGGAGGTGGCTCTTGTTGCTTTGGGGAGTAGCCCACGGGAGTGAAAGAGTATAGAAGATAAGCAGGTTAACACAAACTACAAAAAATTACGTTGGACTAAACACAAAAAAATACTTTGTGTCGGAGTGTGTTAAAGCTGAATTTGAGAGAAGTTTGAAAAAATTATACTTTTTAAGCACTTTGCTTTCACTCTACTTACTTCATACTGAGAGTTCTTTTTTAACAAATGCAGTACAGAGTTCCAAGAACAACGATCAGATATGCATATAAGGTCATCATGTACCGGCACAAGCTTGCCTGGTAGATACAGTGCTCTGGCAGAACATTTGTAGGAGGGGGAAAAAAAAGACTGACCCTGATCTTGTGTGACATGTCAAAGGTGTGCAAAGTATGCTGTTTTGACCTAATACATAATAGCATCAGTTAAATTTAAGGCTGTCTTACCTATTATGTGCATATTGACCAAATTTTTTGGTCGTTATAGGGGTTTTCTGAAGGCTTATGTACTTTTCTACATAATGTGTCTCACAAGGATTTAACTTTAAAGATGAAAGAATACCAATATTAAAACTGGAGGAATAACTGGATGTAGGTTTTCTTTTTTTTGGTCAGTGCTGCATGTTGTTTTGCCTTAACCTCTCTGTCTTGTTAAATTAGATGTCAAGACCACTTAAAATTTATATTAGTCTTGCTGTGCATGCTACTTTTTTCAGGATTATGATGGCTGTCACTGCTTAGTTTGATGCTCTCTAAAAGCCACACAATGTCATGACTGAGTCTCAGACCTGCAGGAGAAGAACATCATCTGTGTAACCTGTACCCAGCGATCTTTGGGAATAACTCTTTGAACACAGTTGCAACTTAAAATTTCTGTTTTCTGGGAGGGGGGACTGTTGCACAATTTCAGAGTGGTTTTATTTTTTTAAGGATTTTTTAGCAGTTTCTGGCTTTTTGTGACGTTCTGTAACTTTTTTCAGAGGGCTCAGGAATGAGCACCTATAATGAGATCAGTATGGGATTCTTCATTTCTTTTGACTCAGCAGACTAATCCTGTAGTATATTTAGTACTTGCAAATCCAGGATTTTCTTGCCAGCTAAACGGTAGACCAGAAATGATAATTCACAGTTTCTGAGGTGCTGCACCAATATGTTGAGGTAAGGTAGGAAGGGGAGCCTGACAAATCTTGCCCCCTTCAGTAATGCACAGTTAAGGTGAAGGTCACTGAATGCCTGCAGTGGCAGTGCAGTTTTTCTGCAACCATCTCATAGTGCTGTGGAAAATCAGGGGAGTTTAAACCATGTCTATCAGAGAAGGAGTGTGATGTTTTTTCCTCGCCTTGCATAAGTATGGGCATATATTTTCAATCCACAGTGTTATTATTGTGGAATGTATCTTGTACTTTATGAGAAAGTAACCTTGCTTCTGAACGTCTGGAACAGATGCGTGGTTCATGTGTCATTAAATTAGAAACTGCAGGAAAACAAAGAACCATCTGGAGACTTGGTGGGGGGGAGGTTGAGGTCTCTGGTTAAATGTATTATCTGCACAGGAAAAAATGTAGTGTTTCAGCTACAAAAGGAGGGAAAGTGTGCTGGGCATTTTATTTTGGTTTGGTTTGGTTTTAAACCGTCTTCTTTCCATAATTAGGTGGCACACCAGAATGAAAGACATGGACAATATCCAAACTGTAAAGAAAGAATGGTAGGTGCCAGTTCTCCCCTCCCTGTTTCCCCCCCTTCCTTTCCCATTGCTGTCTGTGTGTCCTCTTATGACCTTTCGAACTTTGTTAAATTCTAAAATTTAATATTTTTTCTCTATCCACTTACTCCACACGTACTGAAGGTTTCAAAAAAATGCTATCATTTTGCTGAAAGATTCCTCACATACCTGAAATGTTTCCTAGATGCAAGAAGCTCTGTAAATATTTTTATTTAGAAAACCAAGGCAGCCTTACAAATTGCTAACTCACTGTGCAGCTCTACGTTTGATGTGGAGGTGTTTGGTTTTCCAGTTCTGTTTCTGTGGTAAAGCATAGTGAATACCTACATTAATGCTTCAAGTTTCTTTTGTTCTGTTAGAAAACTAATGGGGACAGCATACTTTTGAAATTTCTTCTTTAATGTTGTTGAGGTTTTTGTTTAAAGATGTTA